CGTTTGAAGTGCGGCTGTCAAGCGTCAGATCCCAAATCAGTCAGGTGCGCCGCCCTTGGATACGGACGTCCTTGGTGTCAGGTACGTTTGGCCAGTCTGGTGTTTCGGAAGCGAAGTTCTGGAGTGACGAGCGAGATGTCTTGAGTTCGGTTTGGGGAGTGTTCCGAGCTGCCATGGGCCAGCTCGGGTCACGGCTTTGTGAGGCTTAGGACCCAAGATAGTTCGGGCTCCTTGTAGGGAGCTCGGGTTCTTAATAGGGAACTCGGACTCCCAGTAGGGAGCTCGGACTCCTAGTAGGGAGCTCGGGTTCTTGATAGGGAGCTCGGGCTCCTAGTAGAGAATCCGGTCTGGTGGAGTTCGGGCTCAGTAGTGAGCTTGGACTTCATTACTTTCGGTGCTCGTTTTGGGCGCTCTGCTGCCCCGAGTTGCTTGCTTTTGCCACGTGTCGGGTGATTGCGAGGTCGGGCCAAATTTCCCTTCATCAGTAAATATTAGACAATTTCCCTAAAATTAAACACATACACGCTATTTGCTACTCCCTATTAGAGTTCGTACTCGTAGATTATTGGACTCTCTTAGCATTAGCAGCACCAGGCTATTGATACACACTAAAAGAGAGAGAACTCTTCGGGTGGGAACCCTAAATAATCACAATGAGCTCTTGCATTGTTGATAGCCTCCTACGACTACGGGTGCAAATGGATAAGATCATAATTCGATCTGATTCAAGATCCAATCCTATTTGGTCGCATTCAAATCACCCCTAATCGGATCTGACAATAGGATCCGATCGGATTCGAATCACCCCTATCCAATACCAATATATTATATATTTATAAATTTGTTATATTTTTATTTTTTTATAAAAAGCATGTATGTATATATGACAAAAATAATTAAAAAATACTTATATTTTTTGTTTTTATTTTATTTAAATTAATATATTTTATTTTTTTTAATAATTTACTAATTAAAAAAAAAACAAGTCAAATCGGATCAAATCCGAAGATCCAACTTACCGTAGCATTCAAGTTCAAATCGAATCCTATCACATCCGATCGAATTCAAATCAAGTTCTATCAGATCTGAAGATCTGCCTTACCGATATTCATAATCCAAAACTGATCTACTAATTAATTGTATTGGAGAATTGAAGTTTGAACCAGATTCGGATGTGAATGGATTCTATCCAATTTTGACACATTCCATATCCTATCCAATTACGACGCTAGTACTAATGTTATCACTAACTAAACAGTAAAACCCTTTGGATCCTGTATTCCTCTTATATAATTGGGTTTAGACGGCTTCAATAAATTTGGAAACGGATATGTATCATTAAAACATTTTGGATTCGATCCAAAGATTTGAATATGTATTGAAAACATCATGAAAATTTTCATGAATTTTCTTTTGGTGAAAATTTTCATGAACTAACTGGTATCGTAAGATTTGGACAAAAGTGACTGGTGAGTGACTCCATGGCCTTTCCAAATGTCTAGTTAAATGATGGATTTCATTAATTATTCGGTTAATTGATGAAACTGTGACTCATTGAGCATTCAAATTTTTAGTCCATTTAGCAATTTGAATAGCACAGTAAGTAAATTGTAAATTTCCCATCATGACATTGCTTTGATGATACATTGTCAAAATCCAGATACAAAGACTACGGTCCAACAGTACCTTCACTCTAACCATTGAAAATAAGAGTACACCTAAAAAAAGGTAACTATTACCCATGACAGTAGTCAACCCCACGTAAGATTTTCCGATATATGACCGACCGATCCCTACATCTTAACCATTAATTAACATTTCTTTCTGCGAAACTTCTATATCAAAGAAAAAAAAAAAGAAAGAAAAGAAAAGGACTCATCATTAACCCCCCTCTTATTTCTGACCACCAACCTCAACAGGCTCAACCACCTCAGCCTCTACGGTTTCGGAGCTGCCCATCTCCCTACGCTGGCTATCAAGAATTGGCGCAATCCATTTGCCTGAGAGGGCCATGCCCATCATCTCATATATCTTTCCACCCAACTGTGCTGGATTTTCAGGCTGCACCAAGATAAAACATTAAACCCCATAAACAATGCAATTAACAAGCTGACTAGTTTATTTAGAAGGGCACTACTTCAGCCATTTAAAAAGTTTAAAGATGAGAAGAGAACTCACAGTGAAGCCACTAGAAATCAGAGCGGTGTCATACAAAAGATCAATAGCCCTCAATGCATCTTCGTCGTCTGGTCTAGTCTGGTACGCAGCCTGCATGAGACACAATTATTACATACAATTGAGGTACACTGGTATCATCGAAACAGGGAGACAAAAAAATTAGCTTTGTCGTAGGTCATCCTACATTTAAGTCTTTGATGATTTGGTGCTCCGGATTAATCTCAAAGACCCTCCGGCTTCTCATAAACTCCAAGCTAGATGTGTCCCCAACTGTTTGTGCCTTCATTAACCTGCGAAGTAATTAAATTATAACTAATGAGCAAATATGTATTTTGATGAAGATAAAGTACATAATGCATAAACTTCTAAAACTAAAATTTTGATCTTGAAACAAGATGATGCTTGCCTTTCCATGTTCGCAGACCAACCAAACTTCCCAGACACAAGAACACATGGTGATGTGCTCAGGCGGTTAGAAATCTGGACACTGGCAACTTTGTCACCCAAGCGCTTCTTGATCCAATCACAAGTTCGGCCAAATTCCTCCTTGATCTCCTTCTCTTTCTCCTCATTCTTATCACCTGACACATGGTTTCAAATAGAAAGACTTTAGTCATTAATTTACATGAACACTACTGAGGAGTTGAACCATTTATTGGCCATTAAAAAAATGGGTAGATCAGCTAACTGGGCTGAATCATTTATCCTCACAGTAGCTTTCAAAAATCAACATGATGGAGGACAGAGAGAGAGAGAGGGGCTTGCTCTTGTCCCCCCATCTTGACCCTTTTTTGTGTGTGGCTGTGTGCATGCATGTGTAGTGGAGACTAACCTAAATCCAAATCTTCCTTGCTGATGTCAACAAAATTTTTCTCTTTGTAAGATTTCAAGTTTTGGATGGCAACTTCATCAATGGGATCAACTAAGAAGAGAACCTACAGCAACAGTGTGTGACAATGTTAATGGAATAGTCAAAGAAAAGGATTTTGACAAAATCAACTAAATAATATATCATTCAGGCAAAGACAAGCATATACCTCGAAATCCTTCACAACAAGCCTCTCAAGGAATGGTGTATTCCTTGCACTTGTCAAACTATCTGATGCAATGTAGTATATATCCTTCTGCTCTGGTTTCATGTTCTCAACATACTCATCTAAGCTGATCATCTCTTCATCACTCTGAGAAGAAAAGAATCGAAGCAATGGAGCAATCCGCTTGTGGTTTTCACGATCCTCAATGCAACCCAACTTTAAGTTCTTGCCAAAGTTCTCCCAGAACTTCTCATAGTCCTAGTGTGACACAATAAACAAATAACTGAGCAAACAATCAACAACTTTATTTTTCTTCCAGTTCCAGGAGTTGGGATATTTCAAAAATAAGGATAAGGATGTACACAGCCCTCATGCAAATAAAATGGATTTCTGCAAAGCTCTCCCAGAACCTTTCATAGTTCTTTTGTAACATAATAAACAAATGGCTGATTCCTTCCATGAGTTGGAATATCTCTAACAAATACTTTCAGTTGAACCCTTACTCATCGCAACAAAATCCAAAAAGATTAAAAGAAATAGAAGAAAAATAGAGGCATACCTCTCTATTCTCGCTCATAGATATGCCCAAGATCATGTCAAAGGCCTTCCGAACCAATCGCTTCCTCATAATCCTTACCTATAACCAAGATATAAAGCTAATTATACTAGGCCATGAATACTCAAATAAACAACAAAACAAGAATAAGAGATGTCTCTAAAAGGTTTGACGTCATGTGGTAGATTAACTTACTATTCGACTTTCCTGAAGAATCTCACGAGAAACATTGAGTGGAAGGTCATTTGAGTCCACAACACCTTTCACGAAACTCAAATATCTTGGAAACTGATCAATTAGAAACAACAGATGTAAGTAAACCGATTATTGATAGACTTTTTTACAGAGAAGGGGAGTATAGTGTGATATCCCCTTGAATTGTGGACCATCATGAAGGATCATGTCTTACCAGTTCTCCATCAAAGTCATCTGAAATGAACACTCGTTTAACATAGAGCCTTATATTCCTTGTTTTGGGATTAATTATATCATCTCTTCCTGTAGGAGCAATAGCTGGCACATAGAGTATGGACCTAAACTCTACTTCACCCTGCAATAGATGCAATTTATAAGCTTAATAAAACAAACTAAATAATAGCACGCATGATGAAATATTTGTGCATGTAGAAAGTAGGTGTGCACATTGGGTACTCAATTTGAACAAATTACACTGCATTTGAGCTGGGCCCATTCAAATCTTAACAAATGCACAACCTGAGCCCACCCAAGATGCACCCCTATTGGAGGAGGGGGAGTATCAGATAATTCAGGTGATAAAAAATAAGTTCCACCGTTTGCTAAAGATATCCTATATCTAAATAATCTCTAGGATTTTCATTCTACAATGTAGCTGTCACATGTATTGTCATTATTATTGTTGTTGTTACCTCTGTAGTGAAGTGTGAGGATGCTAGAGGGTCCAAGTACTCATTGAAGGTCTTCTTGTAGAACTCGTTGTATTCCTCTGTAGTGACTTCCTTAGGGTTGCGTAGCTGTTCATATACAGAAACAATATGAACACCTGACAGTTCACTGAATTTCCCATAATCAAAGAGGAAATAGCAGTTTTAAGCCTTACCCATATGGGCTGAGTTTCATTTGTCAGCTCCCAGTCCCAGTACCTCTCAACTACGGTCTTAGTTTTCTTCTTTTTCTGTCATGACATAAGCACAAGAAAGATTGCTCAGAAACCAAGGAACCCACAATAAACGAGTAGTCGGTATAGTGAAAGATCACAAGTTACCTCAGCTTTGCCATCTCCATCATTTTTGGTTTCAGCTGGATCCTCATCAACTTCAACCTGTTAGATATTCAATGATCAGGAGAATAGAACTAATGCTATAAAATCAAATAGTGAATATTGCAACCTAAATAGGAGTACATATACATCTTGGAAAGCCTAGGGACACAGAATAGTAAGGTTCTTGCACGGTTGACCGTTCAACCAAAAAAAAATAAGGCTTTCATTGGGTCTGGTTCAGAATGACTCAAGTGAAGCCATACAAAACTGTAAAACCCACAGCCAATCTGGTCATTTGGTAAGTTTTCCATGTATTAGCTTACTTTGTGTTAGAAGACCTCACCACCTTCTAATTCAATAAATTTCAGCCAAAAGACCTCACCACAAGTTCAGAGCCATCCTTCATGGATATCTTTTAATTGGAAAAACTAAAATTTTTGCACAATTATTATCATAGGGCAAGACTCCTGTGCAAGCTAGGTGGTGGGCTGACCTAGACAGCATGACCAACACATATACCAACCAAGAACATCAACATTCATATTGGTGATGTACTGATATCACCAACTATATTTGGATGTTGGATCAGCCCAACTGCTTAATTGGGTTTTCCTCAACTTGACCACTCTGCTGGCAACCTCTGGATTAGTGCCATGCCACTGGTGCCCCCCCCCCCAGATTTGGAAGAAAATTGAAAGATCTCAGTCTGACTTGACTAGACCACACAGAATAATGTTATATATAAAACAGGATCAGGTAGACAGACCTCTTTAGTATATCCTTTTTCTTGCCAGGTGTATATGGGGAATGACACAAACTGTGAATAGTTCTTCACAAGCTTCTGAATCCTTTCTGGATGTGCAAAACCTTTGTCATCACGCTGCATACAAGCAGATGAAGTCAGCATGAGGAGGAAGGAAGAGTGCCACCAAGCAATATTAATGCAAAAAACAAATCTGCTTAATGACCTTAAGATAGAGAGTAAGGCGAGTTCCTCTTGGGATAAGTTTCTCTGGACTTGTCTCTTCTCTAATTGTATAAGAACTAGCATTAGCCTCTCCTTCCCATACATATTGCTTATCAGACTTTGGGCTCTTTGTTGAAACAACAACCTACCAATAACAAAAGAAACATTAGTAATGAAGAAAGAATCGAACACACAAAACAAAACACCTAGAATTGGACAGCAAAAGGATAAATGGAAACTAGAGTGGCAGAAAGATGATTATAAGATAAGGTTATGGCATACCCGGTCAGAAACTAGAAATGCTGAATAAAAACCAACACCAAATTGACCTATTAAATTGTTGTCAGCACCAGCATCCTTACTGTCCTGTATAAATCCAGACCACAAGTCCATGGACATGGGTTTAACCTTCTAACTTAAAACATGCTAAAAAGATAAAATTAGTTTGCAAACCAAACAAACCTTCAATGCCTTCAAAAACTTTGCAGTTCCACTTTGTGCAATAGTTCCAAGGCAATCAACAAGCTCTTGCTGTGTCATCCCAATACCTGTGTCACTGGACAAAGCAAAGGATATAATCATATAATATTTATGTAATATGTGATAGAACTGAGATCTTGCTTGTCATCACACTTACGTAATAGTGATAATTCCTTTGTCTTTGTCTGTTTGTACACGGATATCAAGATCTACCGCATCTTTCAACAGTGCAGGCTCTGTAACACTAAGAAATCGAAGCTTGTCCAAGGCATCACTTGCGTTACTGTGGGCAATATATCAAATGTTAAATGTGAAACACATTAATATCACAAAATCTACCAACAAAAAAAAAAAAAAAACTCAAAACCATTACTGTGAAGCATTAATTGGTGGAGCACTAGGTATCAGAATATTTCATATGGGCTTATTGTACAATCATTGGCAAAATCTCCCTGGGCATGTGTCACTGTGTGATTACAAGTATGGAACATAACGCCATTTACAAGATGATCATAAAATACACTTGTCTGATGTGTGTTGGTTTCCATGCAATCATCAGCAGAATGGCACACATATTAAAAGGGAGAGAAAGAGAGAGAGAGAGAGATCCCTGATTTGCTGCAATGGTGATAAAAGAAGTTCTAAACAAACCATTATAGATGAAAGATAAAAGGCTTTCATGCCCGGGATGAAGGTCAATATCATAGTGCATTCCAAAAGAAATATATTTTGAATAAAAAAACATGGAAATTGATTTGATAAAAGCATACCTAATGAGCTCCCGAAGAAACACCTCCTTGTTGCTATATAAGCTGTGAACAATGAGGTCCATAAGACGACTAACCTGCAAACAGGCAAAAAACAGACAAAACCTTTGATTCCACCAACCACATAGAGGACAGAACAACAAACAAATGAACCATCTCCTTCAATCCAAGCTCAATACCTCTGCTTGATATTCATATTTCTCAACTGGAGGATCAGAGGCATCGGATGCTGCTGCTGTTGACTCATATCGTTTACCCAAAAACATACCATTGTGTGGGCTGAACAGGGTGGATTTGGATGCATTGTGTCTTCCTGAGGTTGAAACCGAGTACCATCTGCTTGAGAACTGGGAGAGTTTAGAATCATCATCTTGGACCTGTCGATAAGAGAAAATATAAGGATGCAAAAAACACAGACCAAACATCAGTTATTGACAACACTGATGGCATAGGTATGACATCAAAAAATAAGCACCAGTATCTACAGCATAGCAAAATACTATGTGCTATGAAAGCAATTATATAATGAAACAAATAAATAAGTAATTTAACTTTATCCTCTTTCCCCTTTGGAAAGACCCAAGTGGTCAATGAATCCATGAGAAAAACGTCCAAACTCATAACCTAAATAAACATGCAAGCCTACAACAACAGAGCCTGATATGATATACAATATACAGGTAAGAAAATGCAACTCCACGCGAAGTAGGGATGGAGATATCTGAAGCAAATACTAAACTATAACTTTCCAAATATGTCCCTTGTCAGCCACGTCAAACTCGATGAGAAGAATAACAATGTTAATATTTTGCTCTGATATGCATTTTCAATAAAAACAACATGAAAAAAAGGGATGATATTTTGCCAAGATGCATAATCATTGACGCGAAGCTTTAACCGGCATTCAGATGCATGTTCTGCACCAATTTCAACTTCGTTCAGGGTTAATGGCTTCAGTATGTGACAAAACGATCAAAAATAAAACCCAAGAAGTGTTACTAATTTATGAAAAAAAAAAAAACAGAAGGTTATCGTTTTTCCATTTCAACATTCAAAAATGAAAACAATAAATAATAAATAGACCGATCCTCTTCCGTTACGAATTATAAAAAAATTGTAAACGGGAAAAAATGCCGTCGAATGAAGTAGTCACATCGGGAAGGGTGACCGTTTAGGGTTTGGACGTTTAGTCGTTTACCGTGTGGGTGAATGAAGTAGACGATGAAATTGGAGCAGATATGCTTCGGCGTCGGGCGCCACTGTTGCGCAGTACAGCAGAGACGGAACGCCTCGATAACCTGTGCATTTTAGTTAACTTGCGAGTTGCTACGACAAGATTGTGGAAGCACAATTTGTTGACAATCACCAATTGGCAATTGCATTGTCGTCTTAGGGTTTTAGTAGGGCTTTATAATGGATTTGTGGAAGTTTCTGGAAGTAGACATTCGTCTTTTTTCTTTTATTTTTCTAACCATAACCAGCAAGCTTGGTCCAGATGATCATTAGATAAAAACTTCGTGTTATTGTTTAGTGGGAAACACCTGTCCTTAAACAAGCCTCTACTACCCTTTCGCGCGTGTAAAAAATATGCGTATATCGGGAAAACTCCCGATTAGTATGTACTTTCGACTATGGTTTTCAAAATCGGATCGGATCAGAAAAACAGGAACCGATCACTGGTTTCGTTTTCTCCAAAACCGTTATTTTGGTCAGTAAATCGTTGAATCGGGCAGTTAATCGTTTGAACCGTTTGAACGGTTTTGATCATTTTTATTTTAATGTTAGAACAGGTCGAGTGTTTTATTCGAACGGTCGGACCATTTGACCCAATAACCGGACCCCTAACCGGTTCAATCACTGGGTCGGTTTTAAAAACCATACTTTGGACCTAATACTACTTTGGTCGCATGAGCTTTAAAATGTGATAATTCAATACTCAAACTTTTAAAACATGTCAATCTAATACCTATCATTAACTACCTTTTAATCAATCATTAAGTAGCATTTGAAAAAGATAAATATCTTTTTGAGTGTTATCTAATCTTTTTTCATTAACCATTCAAACATTGACAAAAAATTAACAATCCCAAATTTTTGTTTCTTCTATTCAATAAAGTTGGGGGCACGTCTATGTGGGCATTCTGACTCCAACTTTATTAAATAAAAGAGGTAAGGATTTAGGACTGTTAATTTTTTGTCAATGTTTGAATGGTTGATAAAAAATTAGATAACACTTGAAGGGTATTTGTGTCTTTGTCAAAGGCATTTAACGACTAGTTAATAGCTGGTTAACAGTAGGTACTAGATTGACACGTTTTGAAAGTTCAGATACTAAATTGTCACATTTTAAAGTTCGGGGACCAAAGTGGCACTAGGCCCAAAGTACAAGGTACTAATAAGAAATTTTCCCTAAAGTTAATAATGGCAAATCTTAGACCTCGGAGTTCAGATCACCTATCAACAAAATGCATTCCAACATAGTCGGCACCACACATTGTATTATGGTCTCTTTTTATGGTGGGACCCAATTTTATAATGAGATGTATAGTGTCAAATCAAGTTGATAAATGTTGGAACATGTTTTATTGGTAGGAGATCCAAACTCCAACCTGGAGCACAGCCACAAAACCAACTATAATGGAATCCAATCCAAACCCTTACAACAAACTACGGATGTAAGCGAGTTCATACTAGTGTCTCACAATCGATTAAATATTAGTACCGAGTATCGTATCAAACACCTCAGGTATGAATACATATATGATTACACTTTGAAAATGCATGAATACGAACGAAAGATATGAAAATGCTTAGATACACTAGGGAAATGCATAGAAATCACATAAATATATCGATAAATAATAACGCTAAATCTAAAGCTGAATTAATTATGAATGAGCTATAAAACATGAGAAATACACACTTTAATAGGTTGCAAAGAGAAACATGAAACATTACAATCAACAATATTGCTGACTTTGGAAGATGTATATATCATACAATAATTATCACTCTAGTTTTAGTTTTTATAATTCTATTTTTTCTATTATTTAATAATTTTTTGGATCTTTTATTTAGTATTATTTTATATAAATAATACTTATTTTTTAAAATAATAAATATATTTTTTAATATACAATTGCTTATATTACATATAATTTTAATATTAAAACATATAAATCATTTAATATAGATAAATTAAATTATTTTTATAATTCCTTGTTTTCCCTAAAATTTTAGGGAAATGACTTAAATTATTTAGTTCAGTTTTTATAATTATAATTTACAATTTTTATTAAATTTATTAGGACAATTATTTATTTGGAATTTTTATTTAAATAATAACTATTTTTTCAAATAATAAATATGCTTTGATTTTTAACATATAGTTTATATGTAAAATACAATATATAAATCATTTAGTGTAAATAAAATGAATCAATTTTATAATCTTCATATCTTATTAAATTTTGGAGGAAAATTAAATCTTAAAACAAGGTTTGAATATGCGTCAAATTAGGGTCTAATATGCCTCAGTCTTGATGAATATCATGTCATATCAAACGATATTGACATGATGCATAGAACTATAGCATATCATGTGCCAGTGAGCATGAATATGATGTGGTGTGCCCCATGTCAGGTGTATCGTATTGATATTTTAATCCTTGTCCATAATACATCATAGATTGTGTATTAGGAACATCTCTGACAAGTATGAGAGATATTCCCAATGCATGTTGAGATGTGCATGTGGGGCGTGCCCAGTAAGGCGCTTATGTGATCTCGAATTGAATCTAGATATGCTCATCACAAAGTGTTCCTCACAACATCTACAAGTCGTACATCAGGAACATCTTCCATACTTGTATGTTATTATTCATGGGCGATGTTCCCAATACATGTTGGGATGTGGTTGTGAGGTTGGTGTGAGGAGCACTTTGTAAGGAGCATACCCCAATTATGTTTAAGAGGACTTACATGTAACGACTTATAGCGATACATGAGTCAGGAAACTCAAAACGCCATGAAGTCATGTTTGATAAAATTACAAAGAAAAAAAAATCCAAAGTAGGCTTAAGTGAGGCATAAATTCGACTTTATAGTAAAGCTACCTCAAGTTGTTTTTTCCAAAAAAAGGCTCACTAAATCCAACTCAATCAATGTAAAATCCCTTTCAATCAGATTGTAGAATTCTACTCGTAAATAATTGAGTTATAGTCGGGCTTGTATAGCTCAAGTGGTTAATCAAATCAAGTTGAGATTCAAATTTGTAATACTCAAGGTATGTTTGGTTTGGAATCAAAATCATAATGGTTAATTTATTCCCATAGTTTGTTTGGTTCATATAGGAATCAGAATGGGAATTAGAATTGGGTGGAATGGGATTTCATTCCCAAGGAAGAGGGAGAGAATGTTCATTCCCTCAAATTGGGGAATGCCGTTCCCCCATGAATGGGAATGGAATGGGATTCCAATTCCCCAAACCAAATAGTTGGAGTTGAAATTCCAATTCCAGACCCCTATTCTTGTAAACCAAACAGGACCTCAATTTCAACCATTATGAGCCTATCGAATATTTAATAAATCTTAATTTTTAATATAAAAATTATAAGTTTTATTTTAGTAATGATCCTTATTTTTCTTCCTTCATAGGATCTCCCTATGAAGAAGGCCCCCTCTTTATATCCTCCTTCATTGACACATTTGTTGACTTATTTGTCTATGGCCTATTCTTACCCCAACATCAAAACCCTAACCTTATTTCTCTCCATCAAAGCCTTCTTGGAACTTCAACTCTCTTTCGTTTGTATCACACTAGATACCCCTCTCTTGATCATCTTGTTACCAATTGGTGACTTTTATTGTAACCTCCATAAATTCAAGCAAAGACTTCCTAGCCTAATTGGTGCCTCTAACCAATGGATGACAACACCATCATAAGGTATGATCAAATAAGGACCTAAGCCAATCTACATTTCCTCTAATATTCTCATCCTCTATTTTTCTCTATCTAGAAACCCTAATCCCAACCTTGTTATATTATCGATCATTGTTAGTGATGCTTATATTCAATTAATTTCATTGCCTATCTATACATACAACTCAATTTGTCATGCATTTTCTAATGTAGATTTGGAGTTGATTTCTTTCAAATTGCTCTTGCTTGATCGATTTGCATGCAGAATAAAACAAGTCATACCATCTCATGTGGATCTAGACCAATAGGTTAGTTATCACCATGAATGGAATCATGAGATCATGAACATTGAGGTTAAGTTTAATTACGTAACTTAATATGGTATTGATGAGTTTAGGGATTGGGCTGATTGGTTTTGTAGTGGGAAATTAATGAAGAGTACATGCAACGGATTAGAGAAAGAATCCCCAAAGGATGTATTTGAGGAGATTCCATTGGTGTTTCACATAATCAAGAAAAGAAATTTCACAATGATTTTAGGGCTAGAATTGTTGTTAGGGTTGGCTCAATTGTAATTGAGTTGAGCCAAATAGATACTCAAATATCTAGTATTGAAGCAGTTAAGCTCAACAAAGAAAAACAAAACCTGATCAAGCTTGAGTCAGTTTCAAGTAGCAAGGTTTTTTTTCTTTTTCTTTTTTGCAGTCAAGCTTGAGACCACCATTGAAGCCTAGCTTGAGCAAACTTGAATATTGAAAGAACAAATCCAAAAGAGGAGGGTTAGCATCAATGAGGGAAGCCAAAGAATAGAGGGGAGGTTTCCATTGTTTGGTGGTAGGTTAATAATTAAATCTCATAGGCAGTGTTTTGAAAATCAAACCAAACCAAATGGTTGGACCTGAAAAATCATAAATTGGTCACTCGACTAGTTCCATTTCACCCCAAAAACCGTTGATTTGGTCAGCAAACCACTGACTTAGACAGTCAAATTGTCAACCTGGATAACGGTTTTTGGTCTTTTTTTTTTGTTAGAGTGGGTTGTCCATTCAATCGAACCGTTCGACCTAGGAACTAGACCCCATAACGGTTCTTTGTCTAGTCCGGTTTTAAAAACCTTGCTTTTAGGTTAAACACGTTAACCATTAATGTTATAATTAAATAATAAGAATTAAAAAATTTGACTAAATTTTGTAGAAATCAATTGGGCACGTCTCTAATATCATATATTCATCATTTTAAACATAAAAAAGTGTGATAAATAGGAATTCTTTTTTTATATACATAAATATAAAAAAAATTGTTGAATATTTTGGAAATATATTATTACTGTCATCATCGTCAATCTAAAATTGCCCCATTCAAAGCACTTTTTTTACTTTATTGCATGTGCATGTGTGTGTAAGTTAGGTTTAATGTGGGCTTAGGGGTGTCAATTGGACTGGATTTGGTCCAATCCGGTCCAGTCCAATGTGAATCCATTACAAATGGACCTGGTCCAATCCAATCCAATGAATATTTAGGACCAGCCCATATACTGTCC